ACGTAGTGGATACAAATGTTGATAGGTCGTAGAGGCCAGAGTTTGGAGTTACATGAGTTGTGAGCCACATAGGTCGGGATTTGTCACGTAGGTTGTAGCGTTGAGTTGTAATAATGTCTGTAGTCAGCAAATGGTGGAGTTGGGAACTGTGTGTGACGTAGGTTGTACTTGATCACGTGGGACATAGCGAGGGGCTATAATAACATTCATAGGTAGAAGAAGCTGGAGTTGGGAGCTGCATTAGCTGTAAGTCGCATAGACCATAGTTGGCCACATAGGCCGTAGTGGAGAGTTGTAAATATGTCTGTAGGCTGCAGAGTTCAAGGTTAGAAGATTCATGAGCTATGAGCCAAGTAGGTCATAGTTGGTCACATAGGTCATAGTGGAGGGTTGTAGTAGCATCAGTTAGTTGCTAAGATCAGAGTACGGGGCTGCACATAGTTACAGTGAACCGCGTAGGCCATAGGCCGTAGTGGGGAGCTCTGAGGAGGAACTTCAGAAGTTCAAGGAAGGTCATTGCATTCTAAGTATGACACTTGTAAGTAGTTATTACGGGGAGTTATGTCATCTTTGAGGAGCGTCGTTACACCATCTTCTGGGCATATTGTTGTACCATTTTCGGGGCACATCATTGCACCATTTTTTGGGCTTGTCGTTGCATTGACTTCAGGGTGTATCATTGCATAGTATTTGGGTGTGTTATTGTGTTGTACTTTGCAAGGTCCGTCAAATCAATCGCGAAGAGTAGCTGGTAAAATTTGGTCAACGGTAGCTAGCAAACATGGTCGACAGCTATAGGAGCAGGATGTGTTTGTCATGCTTTCAGTCCAAAATGGCTCTGGAAACTGACTCTTTTTCTTCTCTTTAAAGTCCAAGTCCCCTCTTTCATGAAGGGGGTAAGGCTTTATTTATTAAGTTTGAGAGTGGTCTCCCTGCAAATAAAAAAGAAATTAGGACCCCTCCATCAAATGACTAGAAGAGATTCCTCTGTTTGATAGTATTTTATGGACATTTGAATTCGTTAACGTTATCAGAATTGAGAAATATTTTGCTTATTTGATTCGTCTTATTGAGATGTTCGATTCGATTATAATAGTGTCAAATTTGAAATATGGCTTGACCTCCCACTTGGGAACTAGAAACTTCCAAAAATAACTTGACAAGTCGATCAAGACTTGATTTTACTCGGATTAGACCAATTTCAGTGTCATTGTCTTCGTCTCGTCCAGCCGGTTAGTTTGACATTAAACTTGTCAAAATCAGTGCTCGAAATGAAATTTGAATATTCCTTGCTCAAAAAATTATTTTAGGATTCATGTTGCACCTTGAGATCCTTATTGGATGGAATTTTTTTGGTAACCTATGGACTATATAAAAAGAGATTTTATTTTATTTTATTTTATTTATTTTTATTGGTTATTCTTCGCTATTTTTTTATCTTATTTATGTATTTTAAGATTTTAATATTAATTTATTTTAATTATTATTTTATTTCACCCCTCCCAACCCCCTCTTTAAATTCTAGTTCCATCATAGAACTTAAATACCTATTGATTGATAGTGTAAGCTTTCAATTTGCAGGACTTGCTTAATTAATACATTATGATTTTATATTGTCCAAATTTATTTGACTGCCTTGTCTTCCGCCGCTGTATGAACGCATAGAAACATGCTAAATTATTGTAGAAGAAATTTAGATATTTACGTCATTTTCTTAAGCTTATTAGTCCGAAAATAACACATCATTTTTGTTTTTTTTCGAATTTTTAATATTATAAAGCACCATCCATTCATCATTAAATAAAAATTAAATAATCGCTTCATATTTTTGAATTATTCCATTAAAATCTTTTGTCGCAAATTCCATAATTCGCTTTCGGCATGAAATATCGGATCTATCTAATTTATTTTAATTTTTTTTTATTATTTTTGGGTTATTTTACAGAATTTAGCCGACGTTATTTATGAATCTGAAGTGAAGGAAAGCCTTCGATTAATATTGATATGAATCTTTTAATATTGGGCTGTCGATAAAAAAATCTTCTTGTTGTTTATTATTTTACGACGTAGGGTCTTGTGTTGCTCCTAAATATATACAAGTCGATAAAGATTCTGTTCTTAGAAGGAAGGTGGAAAAATGAGATGAATGTGCATCTTGAGCGAGTGTCCCAAGTTTTTATCGCCAGAGCTTGAACTTCCAATAAGTCGGTAGTACGGCTCGGATGAGGTTTTTTGGATCATAATGTTTCCTCTAGAAAGAGAGGAAGAGAGAGAGATAAAGGGGAGTGAGATAAAGAGAGAGAGAGAATAGATCTCTTAGAAGGTCATACCGTCGTCGCTTCTTTCTCTTTTGACTTTCCTCTTATACATAAAGACGAAGAAAAGATAAAAAAATACGTTTCATACACCACTGCACCCATATGTAATGTCTTCGTGAAAAGACAGCGATGTGAGTATTATGCAGTGCTTTTAAAGAAATATGGCCTCCCATTCTTTGCAAATAAGGATCACCATTTTTGATAGCTATCCCTCTTTAATGGCTAGGTTGCCCCCATGGTAGAGATAAATCTTGATGCTTCGGGCATCGACAAGTGATCAGCTTAGTTCAATCACTTTGGCGGGTGGACTTGGTTCACCAAAAGAGTCTGATTACACAGGTCGTGTGACGTGTCGGCCTCCGTGTCCGGCTTTGTATAAAAAAGTCTTGTTTTGATATATAGTCATATTTATGTATAAAGTTATTAATACTCGATAAAGAAGTCTTGTTTTGATATATAGTCATATTTATTTATGCAGTTATTAATACTTGATAATTAGCTCAAACTCAACTAAATTTTAAAATTTATTTTTTTAATGTGCCAAATTTAAATACTTTATATGAGCTTTATGCTGGTAAGTATATTTATACGTGTTTTTTAACACAATAAAATGAAATTAACCTTAATCAGCCAAAGTACTCAGTATACTAGAATGGACTATAACTGAACTTTCATAACTATAAAAGTCAAAATTTAAAGCCAATTTAAAAAATATTAATTAGTGATGACATAAACATGCAATGTGACTAAGTAACAAAACGTAGTTATTTTGTAACTATATTTGTAAATAAATCTAACATTTTGCATATTTTACAAATTATATACACAGCTGACATCAGGAACATGTATGTGGGACTTAGCATGATACATTCATGTAAACAGCGAGATCACATTAGAGACAAATCATCCTTCTAACCGATATTTATTTTCTTCCTTTGCAAATGATACCATTTCCTCTCAATTACATAAGAAGAATGGAATGGATCATAGTAGCAAATGCATTTGGAAAATCCTGATCATTTTGATTGTATTTTTTTTTTTTTCCTAATTGTGAGCACTAAAATGCGAGTTTTAACAATGATAATGTAAGTAAATGCAGATTTCATAAGTTGAACACATCTTAGAGCATTCAAATGTTTGAACTAAGAATTTCAAATCTTGAAATTTTATTGTTCTTGAGTTCGCCTACTTCATAATGATGTTAAAATATATTTTGATGTTAATAGCTTCTCTCTCTACATGTCCAAGCATCTCGTTGTGTTGTCTCCTAAAACTCCAATCAATCATTGGGGTTTTCAAAGACATCTATAATTAACTATTGAGTAATCTCTGACCTCGTAAAAGAAGACATGATTGTTTTCAATCATGGCCCAATTTTTTATCTTTCAACCGCACTCTTTGTTTATTAGGATAGGACTTGTCGTAAGTACTTTCATTCGCTAGTCAATGATTAATTATTTATTCTCAATCATTTTAAATAGAGACTATCATAAAAACCTCCATTGCATGCCAATTTCAAATTATTTAGAATTTTTTTTTCAAAAGTAGGATAATTTTAATTGCCTTTAACATTTGACGATGAATTCAAGTTGATCAATCCTCTATTCTTGTAAAAAAATATTTTCGTGATAGCCTTGGACACCTGCTAGCTTTCATTTGTATAATTTTCTTTCTTACTTTAAGCGAATGATTAACATGATTTTTCTTTCATTTCTTGCTAAACTTAACCCCCCTATTGAATCTTTTTTTTTATTTTCTAGTATATTTGCTTAACATCTAGACTTGTAATTATCTTGCCCTCCAACACACTCTTCCACGGTTGCCCCTATTGACCCTCTCCAATGCAAGACTAAGTCTACTATAATCAATTTTAGTTTACACCTATTATGATATCATATAGTTAACTACTACTTATATTAATTTAGTTTAGAGCTATATTCTCTAGTTAATGAAACATTAAGTTTTTTTTTTTTTTTAAATAATAAGCCATAAGAACAATTATGTTAGGAGTAAGCACACGTTCAAAATAAGCCACAAGAACAATTATGTTAGGAGTAAGCACACGTTCAAAACCAAATCCACTATAGAGAGAAGCCAGACCTCAAGTGCAAAATGGAAATGAAATTATTACATTTACATATCACATAGTTCTTGTATTTATATATCTAACATTTTAACATCATAAAACATATATTCATGGAAAGATATATTTATTTTTAAAAGTAAGTTATAGATATATATATATATATATATATATTTTTTATGTTAAATATTTGAGTGCTAAGTAAATAATTTATAAAATTTTAAAGGTTAGATATCTGAATAAATAAAAATTTTGTGAGAGATATTATAAAAACTCCTATTTTAAAATAAAAATATAACCATCAAAATGAAGTGCCGCGAAGGCGGCAGTGAACAGCTTCCCAATCAGTTCACGCCTTTCACACCGAATTTCCGCGCGGAATCCAGCTGTCCTTCTAGATAGTAAGCCGACTTATTTACCCACCGCCCCGCATAATAAACATCTATACGAACTCCATCTTCCTACGTCGATTATTCTTCTAAGCAAAAATCTACGGCAGATTTTAATTGTCCTGTAAGAAAAGGACGCAGTGGCAAAGTTGTGATTTTATAATATGTCAGTGGTATTTTAGTTTTGAAGCAGTATATATAAACTCATCCCCCTCAGTCCACTCCCTATCTTTCCCCGCGGTTTTTGCTTTAGAGATTCCTTCAACGAATCAATGGAGGGGAGTACGGAGGTACCTCTCATTTTTTAATTTTAAATTTATTTTATAGAGCAATTTCTCTGAAATCACTGCACTGAGATTGGCGTCGATCGATTTGTTGGAGAAAATTACTGCGAATTGAATGGTGGATTGATGGAATTGCAGGGGACAAAGGTGGATTGGATGTCAGTACCGGCGTTCGGGGACTGGGAAAACCAGAAGGGGATGCCGGATTACTCATTGGATTTCTCCAAACTTCGACAGATGCGGAAGCAGAACAAGTCCGATTACTCGTGCATCTCCATTGGAAACGAGGAAGATCTTCGTCACGGATCCAAAAAGGATGAGGAGCTCCATGACCGATCCAAGGTCGCCTCCGACGTCTCTCTTTCAGGCGCCGCTGTAACTCCGGCGATACACCACCAGCACTCTCCCTCGGTGAGTTGAATATACTTTTATCCTGTTACAACAGAACACTAGGGCTTGGTTGGTTGGTTTAGGTTGATTGATGAGTTCTTAAATAGTCCCTGCTTTTTCTCTATCTTTTTTTTTTTCAAAATATACTCCTAAATTTTATGACTATTTTTGTTTTTTTTTTAATAAGCGGAAACAAATTTCGGATTGCTTCTAGTCTTTAGTACTTAATGCTTGCATTAATTAATCTAAAAAAATTAATTAGTCCTTTTAGTTTTAAAACAGAAAGGTTCATTTAATGCTTTAGCGATTAGTTTTTTGCTCGGGCTTGTCTTTAAGTAATGGTTTCATAACTGTGTTGTTCAATCGGGTAAAGTCAGGGGTAAATCAAAGCTTTATATACGATCTGTTTCCTTTAAGAAACCGATTTTTAATATGATAATTTCGCTTGTAAAAAATCTGGGTGAATCTGAATCTTTTTATATTTTGTTTGTTCTTGGGTAATGTTACACCCAGAAATTCGAAGAACCTTAATAAGTGTCCTAAATTAATCAAATAAGCATGTTGTTGAAGAAGCAGAAAGGAGCAAGTTAGTGGAATCACTAAGGCACATTAGAAATTGCCCGCACAATCTAACCTAGGAAAAATTATTGTATACATACATCGTCTGATCCTAACCGTAGATCACGATGATCTAGGGTCATGATGCAAACAAATTTTTTTTTGAAAAAAAAAATTAAAAGTAGGGCCCACCGAAATACATCATGACTGTAGATCACCGTGATTTACTGTCATAGATCGGACACCACATACAATATTTTTTCATAACCTAGGGGGTGCTAGTGAAGCGTTAACTGGCTGCAATTCTACCTAGCTTAGGAGTTCGTGAGTGAGCTTATTGAATTGCGGCTACAAACTCGAGCCTGTATATTAAATGAGCTCACCCTTTGAGCTTGTGTTTTGATAGGCAAGCCGAGCTTTTGAGTCAGTCATGGCTCAAGTTATTAGAGATTTTTTTTTTTTTTTTGCAAATTAACGATTTAACTCGCATATTATAATCATTAACCACTATTTTTAAAAAAACATCAACAAAAGAATTATATTTTATTAAATCTACTTTCAATCAACAAGATATTCATTGTGAAAAATAAAACATTTATATATATACATTTTTATTTAAATTTGATTATTTTAAAAATTAAACAAGGGAGCCACATAAGGAGAAATAAAACACAATTTTTAAACAATACTTCTCCTATGAATTGTGTATGATTTTATTTAAATTGAGAATATGTTTCATATATGCAAATATGATATAAATATATATATATATATCATTTGGGTGCTAAAACATTATTATTATTTGAACTTTGATCAAACTAAACTTGTTATATGCTTATACGTTTTTTTTTAAATAATTGATGTGATTACCAAAAAAAATTGGTATTTTATAATTATTTTTTAAATTTATTTGCAGGGGAGGAGAAAGCTCACGAGCTATTTCGTTTGCTGCACCGGGGCTTGAAGTCTTCTTCTCATGGGAAAAAATTTGCGTACGTAAGACGTACGCAGAATTGTGTACATAATAGAGGTTATATGAGCGTTATATCAACATTATATTCGCATTATATCCCTTATAATCTCCATATAACTTTCATGTAACTACATGTAAGCTACATATATGTGAAAACATAAGCATGGAACTTATTTGTAAGTTCAGGTAGGTTACAGGCTTCATTCCCAATATTAGTACCGCTTGTGTCCTTTATTATTATTTTTTGTTACAACAGTTTATAGGCCCTTGTAAAAAAGATTTGTTAAGCTGCAAATATATGTTCTATCTCGATGATTCTTAAGCTCATTAGGTGGCCTACACGTATTTGTGATATATCAAGATGGCCCATTAAATTTGGATCAACAAAAAAATTGTTAATCATGATAGACCAAAATGCATGACATGTTAATTGAATAAAAAATAAATAAAGAATTCGAGCACTCATAAAATTGCATACTTGAACAATTCGCTGGCAAATATCATGCTCACTAATTGAATTGTATAGTCTCAGTCAACTGATAACGATCATAGTGCTGATGCAGCCTTCACCCACCATAGTTTTATAGATAACTATTGTGCGTAGAAAATGGAGTCCATGAAACGATGAACCATCTCAGCTGATTTAGCTTATTTTCTCTCGCTCAAACAAACTATGGAAGAGTGGAACATAAGTTTATTATTATTATTTAATATTATTATTATTTTGTTTAAAAAAGTCATCAAGGAAGAAAAAGTCGCATGATCTTATCAAACAAAAATAATTTACATTTTCTTGTGAAAATATAAAAAGATAAGATTGTGACACGTTACATTTTTGTAAGAGCTTCAAAGGTAGCGAACAATATGAATGATGTTGAAACAACCCTCGATATTTACAGAGTATTCAACCGGCATCACAAACTTTATAAATCACCCCATGAAGCACCAAGTTCGAGCACTCATAAAATTGCATACTTGAACAATTCGCTGGCAAATATCATGCTCACTAATTGAATTGTATAGTCTCAGTCAACTGATAACGATCATAGTGCTGATGCAGCCTTCACCCACCATAGTTTTATAGATAACTATTGTGCGTAGAAAATGGAGTCCATGAAACGATGAACCATCTCAGCTGATTTAGCTTATTTTATCTCGCTCAAACAAACTAGGAGGGGTGGAACATAAGTTTATTATTATTATTATTATTATTATTTTGTTTAAA